AAAATCATTGAGACTCTTTGCCACCTTGCCTGGAAATCTATGACATTGGGAAACTCTTGAATTAGCAAACAGGTTTTGTACCAGAACAGTGCATTCAATGGGGCATGAGATCACTATGAAGCTGTGAAGTGCTGGAATCAAGCTTTACGTTCTGAAAAAAACAAATTACAGCATGTGATCTGTAATGTTGCAAGACGGTGTGAGGGCAGCGGATCACTTTTACTTGTGCAGGAGTCTGGGCGCCAGCTTTCGGTGCCTAAGGGCATTTCCTGTTAAAGTGGGTGAGTCCTGGCATCCAGGACTTTCTTCATGTGAAAGTGGTGTATGAAGACAACAATTTCCTATCATGTCATAAACACATTAAATATCAGTTATGTTGGGAAGAGCAAGGTTTTATTTCAACATTCTGGCGTTCTCCATTTATCCCATATAGCCACCTTGTAATCTTACTACAGTCACCAAAAATGTTCAAGAGTGCATTCAATCTTGACTTAGCTCTTTTTGATTTCAGCTCCTGAACAAATTGTTTTTAGATTTGAAACCCAAAACTGAAGAACAAAACAAAACTGAGGACCATGCTCCTGTGCTCAAGCAATGGCTCTGCCCAGACTCCCCTTCCCTCAGAAAGTGTATTTCTGTCAGAAGGAACCGCTTGAAATGACTGAACACCTTATTCAAACAGTTTCTCCATTCTGCAAATTAAGAACTTTAAATGCAAGTGAGCGCACGAGAGTTTGAACGCAATTGAATGCATCATTCTGTTTCCAATTTTGCAGTAGATACTTAAAAACTGAGACCCAGGCTCCTGTGAGCAAGCAAGGTGTCCAGGACACAGGAGAATGAACACTGTCTAAAAGAAAAACATAGCTTTCATTGAGACCCTTTGCCAAACCAGGATTTGTTTTACTATTGCTACAGGAAGTAGTTTACCAAAACAAACAAACCTGCTAATACACTGTTTAAGTTTCTAAGGGGGCTTTTAATGCAATTTTGCATGTCCTTGACATGGCAATGGGTGAATCCTGGAACCCAGGATTTTTGCATAGCAAATGGTGTTTTTCATTTGAGCATAAATTGTAAGGGGGCCCTTAGGGAGGGTAAGGTATTTTCCCATCATCTTGGCATTCCCCATTTGCCCTGGGTATCTCACAAAACAAAAGCAAAACCCACCAACACATTCAAGTCTGACTTAGTTGTTTTTAAATTTGGCTCCTTGATTTCCAGAAACCAGGACCAACAACAACAACAACCGTGTCCTGGAAACCAGGACCAGTAGTGAGACTACCCTGTAAAACAGGACCACCAACAACAAGAACAACAACAATGTCCTGGAAACCAGGACCAACAACAACAACAACCATGTTGTGGAAACAAGGACCAACAAGAACAAAATGAAAACCAAGATGAACCATGTCCTGGAAGCCGTATTTCATACAAAATGTATATACATATGTGTACATATATATGTATAAATATGTGGTGGGATGTAGGTAGCGAGATTGGGCACTGACTGAGGCACCGAACTGTCGCAAAGACGGACCAATCGAGAAAAACAAGTCCCTGTGCGGGACACTGCCTATACGGCAGACTAGTTACTGTTTGCAGCATCAGATCCTCAGTGAACCCTCGTGATCCTTAGTGATCCTCAGTCCAAGACGGTGTGCACATGAGCACGGTGATTGTATATACATATTTCCTCAGGGCACAAGTCCTGGTGAAGATAATATAAGTATTATTGGTTTATACATTTCTCTCTAGCACAGCATCTCTGCATGTGTTGTCTTTTTTGTTTGTTTATATGTGTTTGTCCGTTTGGCTCTTGCAAATCTACCTGTTTGCTATCTTTCTTCTATCTGTTTGGATCATCTAGATTTGGCTATCTATCAGTTGATCTACCTATTGATCTGCCTATAGTTTTATTTATCAGTCTATTGACCTATTTGAGAACATGATTCGCTAATATGTACATATATATATATTAAAAAAACATATATATATATACAATATATATTTTGTATCTTTGTCATCTAGTTATCAGCAGTCTATATTCCCATTGTCAAACTATTTGCAACTCACCTATTTCTGTATCCAGCATCTTTTTACTACAATTTCTACCTGTCTGTGCATACTTCTCCTCATTATTCTTTGTCTGTGTATGAGACTGTCTTGTGCTTGTGTATATGTTGTTTTTCCAAGGACCAAGGTCCTGGTAAGTATACATATGATCCAAGGACAAAAGTCCTGGTAAGTATACACATGATCCAAATACGTAGGTCCTGGCAAGTATACACATGATCCAAATACGTAGGTCCTGGTAAGTATACATATGATCCAAGGACATAGGTTCTGGTAAGTATACATATGATCCAAGGGCATAAGTCCTGGTATGTATACATATGATCCAAGGACGTAGGTCGTAGGTCCTGGTAAGTATACATATGATCCAAGGGCATAAGTCCTGGTAAGTATGCATATGATCCAAGGACATAGGTCCTGGTAAGTATACATATGATCCAAGGGCATAAGTCCTGGTAAGTATACATATGATTCAAGGACATACGTCCTGGCAAGCATACACATGATCCAAGGACATAGGTCCTGGTAAGTATATGTATGATCCGATGACGTAAGTCCTGGTAAGTATACATATGATCCAAGGACATCGGTCCTGGTAACATATGGTACAAATACATCATGGAAGGTATACATATACTATTATGAAGATAGTTGTGGATGTGTACAAATGCAGGTATATGTAGAAAGGCTGTGATAACCGAATTCAAAAGAAACAAGAACTTTTGGATTCCAGATGATTCCAGAACTCAACAACTTCAAATGCCAGTTAGGTATATACTGCACAGTTGACTGCACTCTTGGTGAGCAAGTTTATTTTAAGTTTGGCGCTCAAAGCTGAACACAGCGCAGTTGAGGTCCTGTGCTCAAGCAAGGATTCTGCCCACTCCCCTCCCCTTAAAAGCTCTTGGGGAAGGAACCTCTTGAAATGACTTGTTATTGAAACTTTGTCCTGAATTCCAGAACTCAACAAATCCAAATGCAAGTGCGTGAGTGCACGAGAGTTAGAACATAAGTGAACAGTCAGTAGATACCCAAAAAACTGAGACCCAGGCTCCTCTGAGCCAACAAGGGGTCTAGGCCTAGGCCACCTGTGTTCAAAAAAAAACATTGAGACTCTTTGCCACCTTTTCTGGAAATCTCTGACATTGCGAAACTCTTGAAATAGCAAACAGGTTTTGTACCAGAACTCAAGGAGCTGAAATCAAAAAGAGCTAAGTCAAGATTGAATGCACTCTTGGACATTTTGGTGACTGCAGTAAGATTACAAGGTGGCTATATGGGACAAATGGAGAATACCAGAGTGGTGAAATAAAACCTTGCTCTTCCCAACACAACTCATACTTAATGTTTTATGCAATGATCGGAAATTGTTGTCTTCATACACAACTTTCACATGAAGAAAGTCCTGGATGCCAGGACTCACCCACTTTAAGAGGAAATGCCTTTAGTCACCGAAAGCTGGCGCCCAGACTCCTGCACAAGTAAAAGTGATCCGCTGCCCTCACACCGTCTTGCAACATTACAGATCATATTCTGTAGTTTGTTTTTTTTAGAACATAAAACTTGATTCCAGCACTTCGCAGCTTCATAGTGATCTCATGCACACTTGGTTGCACTCTTGGTAAACAAATTGCTTTTAGAATTTAACCCCAAAAGTGAAGAACAATACAAAACTGAGGACCATGCTCCTGTGCTCAAGCAATGGCTCTGCCCAGACTCCCCTTCCCTCAGAAAGTGTATTTCTGTCAGAAGGAACCGCTTGAAATGACTGAACACCTTATTCAAACAGTTTCTCCATTCTGCAAATTAAGAACTTTAAATGCAAGTGAGCGCACGAGAGTTTGAACGCAATTGAATGCATCATTCTGTTTCCAATTTTGCAGTAGATACTTAAAAACTGAGACCCAGGCTCCTGTGAGCAAGCAAGGTGTCCAGGACACAGGAGAATGAACACTGTCTAAAAGAAGAACATAGCTTTCATTGAGACCCTTTGCCAAACCAGGATTTGTTTTACTATTGCTACAGGAAGTAGTTTACCAAAACAAACAAACCTGCTAATACACTGTTTAAGTTTCTAAGGGGGCTTTTAATGCAATTTTGCATGTCCTTGACATGGCAATGGGTGAATCCTGGAACCCAGGATTTTTGCATAGCAAATGGTGTTTTTCATTTGAGCATAAATTGTAAGGGGGCCCTTAGGGAGGGTAAGGTATTTTCCCATCATCTTGGCATTCCCCATTTGCCCTGGGTATCTCACAAAACAAAAGCAAAACCCACCAACACATTCAAGTCTGACTTAGTTGGGTTTTTAAATTTAGTTCCTTGATTACCAGAATCCATGTATATATATATATATATATATGTATACACAACCTGCTTGCTAGATCAAGAGTTTCCTAATGTCAGAGGTTTCCAGGGAAGGTCCAGGACTCCATAACTATGATGTTTGGTGGTTTAATGGTATGTTACATGTCTATTGGTGTTATGGTGTGTAGATATTTGTTCATGTCTGTTTAATTTTTCATGCATTAGTGTGTGAAGTCATGTGAGATGTATTACCGTTGCCACTCAAATGTGACATCATGTTTATGATTACATGCATGTTTATAACTACATGCATGTTTATAATTACATCATGTCCACATCTCAACTGTCACTTCCTCATGAACAAACTGTCGCTTCCAATGGCCGTGGATTGTGTTTGTTTTGTTAATAGAATCAATCAATCACAATTTCCAGTCTATTCAGTTTTATTCAGGTCTATTCTATTCATGTCTACTCATGTCTATTCATGTGTTTCTGTTTCCATATACATTGCTAAAATTGTTGTCATTCACCCCAGAAAATCCCCTTTTTTCTGTTTACACGGGACAGTCCCTTGGGAGCAAAAATCCTCCAACCGTCGACTCGCCGCAGAAAAATCCAGGCGTACTTCGAGATGAGGCAGCCCCAAGAGGTTCCAGGGCTGAGATTTCATGGCTGGAAGATATAAAATTGGTGGTTCGGAACCATATAAAATGGTTAATGATGGTTAATTAATGATGGTTAATGAGAATGGATTAATGATGTTTTTTTGTGGTTAATGATGATATCATTGGTTAAACTGGTGGATTAATGATGGTTAATGATGGTTAATGACGTGGTTAATGATGATTAAAAGAAAACTTCAATGGATTGGTTTGTTAGGGGAAAATCTTAACCGGAAAGCCATGTTTTTTTTTAACCATCAAATTGGTGCTTTCCGGTTAAAATTTTCCCATCGTCCAATTCTATGAGGTTAGGATTCGGGGAATTATCCCAGGCTAGCCGCTTTTTTTTAATCTTATATCAGCTGATCAGGTTGGTGAACTATTATTTGCCCAGATATATTTGATGTAATGAAAATTAATGTGGTAAACCCTCGATACCATTTACCATGTGCATTTGGGGATGATTGTTCTCACCTATTAATAATGACTTTGCTGTTGATTCATGATTGGCTGGGTAAAAAAAAAACTTGACCTCATGTCGTGACCTCACTGGAATCTAGTAAGGGGTAACTATCCCAATATAGCCATAGTTTATCTTGTTTCAGGTTATAATTATAGTGAATTATGTTTTTTTTTGTGATTTGCCCAGTTGTTTGTACCATAAACATAGGATGGTTGTTTCATGTTGTTTCCAAAAGCTGCCAATGTTGTCATGTGTGTTTGATTTAGACCCGCAATTTCAGACATGTCAAACTACTACTGGTGGTTTCATGTTTTTTATTTCCATTTCATATATGGGATAATCCTCCCCTTTGACTTTCATATTTTTCAAGATGGTTATTGCATCACCAACTAGTTTTTTTTTATACCCCAGTTTAAAAGATGAGATATCCCGAGTTATATGTCAAACTACTATATTTTATGAAAGTCTTCAACTTCTTTCCAGACTTATTGAATTCAGTGACCTTTTCCAACATGAATATGGCCCGCTAGAATCACCGGCCCGCAAGTCCCGAACAAACACGACCCAAAACATGTCGGATTGCAATGTGGTAAAAACACAAAAACATTGTTATAAGCCATCCCTAATAATGTCAACCCCGGATTAATAAACCATGGTTTATTAATTAGGGGGGTACTCCTCCAATAGTCACGTTATCCAATACTTAAATGGTACCCCCCCAATTAAACAATCTAGGGGTTTATTAATCCAGGGTTGACATTATTTAGATTCCATTCTTGCTAAAGACCATCCCCAAATCGCTTTGAGTATTGGGTTTACCACGGCCGTTACTGTGGCGCCCGCCAGGCGTTGCGGTCCTTAATGGAGACCATTGCCGACATCTTCTACCAGTGGGTGGTGCCCAGGGATGTGGAAAATCTATGGAAATCTGGGATTAACACACTAGTGAAAATATGTTAACATGGAGCATGATATGTATATATATATATATATATGTATAATTTACCACTGGAATGGGCTAGCTTATTTTCAGACCAGGTCGTGACTAATGTGCTTGTTGTTTTCTCGTTTCGTGGTGGTTGATGCAAAATCACCGAAATCAGTGGAATCCCAAACTGTGTCTGCATGGATCGTAGACACATGCGAGTTTTGTTGTTTTCTTTTAGGGGTTGGGAAGGATTTACCACCCTTTCCCCCACCTTTCCCCAGGACTTCAACTAGTAGCACTTTTAGCGACATGAGACCCCTGGCTCCGGCATCCTAAGGACCATGAGACCCCTGGCAGAAGCCCCAGCGATGTGACTGTGGTGGTGTTTCTCGGGTGACAACTTAAGGCCATGCGAAGGGAAAGTCACCCTTTTGAAGTAAATGGATAAGTACATCATATTAATTTATTAATTGATTTTCCAGCCCGCCATGTTCACTGGCCAAAGGGTAGACCGACAAGCTTTTGAGGATGTTAGTATGCAGTTATTCCAACTGTTACATCTTGTGGAGGGGTATGCGGTATGCTTTAAGGCACGATGGCAGGAGCAAATGTACTGAAGCAGCTAGTCCACTGAAGCATCAGGTAGGACAACCACAAAAAAAGGAGGATAGAGCCAAGAATGTCGATTTAACTGAATGGGACATATTCATCATCAAAAATCCCAAAAGTAGCATATCAATATATACTTATATATATATCCACATATCGCCAAACATCCTCAGTAACGTATCAATATGTTCATATCCTGAGTATTACTAGGATACCAAAGTATATATACATTATCATACATTATATCCATATCATCTCCCATGTATCGTTGGAAGACATGCCTGCTATTCCATCGGTTAAGGTTTTGGCCTGCGATTCCATCGATTCCCTACGGGAGATCGGGGATTCCTTGCAGCTGTGGCCGCAAACAGCGACACAAGGGCGACACCGAGCCCGGGATTCCATAGGTTTTGACCCACCATACAAAAACCCTCTGGCAATTTAACATAACTATGGCAAATCACCATTTATTTCGTGAATTTTCCCATGAAACATGGTGATGTTCCATAGTTTTTTGTAAGTTTACCAGGCCGGGTATTTCCAATATACTGTGGTTATTGGCTGGAGGTCAACACCACTATATCAACGGATAAAGAGATCCGCATGTTTGATGGTCAAATCACCACCTTCCAACCCCCTATTTGGGTCTATGTTGATTTACTGTAGGGTACAATCCCCATAAAGAGATATACAAAGATGTATATAATATACATATATAATCATATATAAATAATCATATATACATTATATATGTATTATAGTAATACATCATATATTATATTATCACCGAGATTCTATTGTATATTATACAATATTATATATACATAGATTCTATAAAATACCTATGCTGAATTGTATATATATATATATGCTATATTATATGCTATTATATATCTATATATCACCTAGAAAAACACCACGGATCATCCCATGCCACCTGGATCAAAGGCAAACAGATGTCTTGGAGCCGCAACGGTGACACGGATGAGATCGTACAGACATAGGGGATAGTGGAGCTTTATAATAATCAATGGTAGATAATTAATTATCATAGGAATCTATCATTATATTATCAATAATATTTATTATAAGATCTATTAATAGCTATAGTCTATAATCAATGCAAATATCTATTGAATCTATATGGTAATGGTGATACCTCTGAGGTGATAGGGATATAAGTTTGGGAACGCAACAATTATGGAACATCTGGATCATTTTATTTGGAATGATTGGTTGTATCAGTTATATTCTTTTATTTGGGATAAAACTACTATATTTTATTGTACTTACAGCACATTTTTAGTTTCCCAGATATTGGGATACAACTATACAATAAAAAACACATCTGCAAAAGAAACATGACCCGCTTTCGATTGATGCTCTTTACTGCAAGGGAATTCCTTCCGAATATGACCCAAATATATTGTTTATTTCAGATTGATCACATTTTGTAATTGGTACCCTGTGGTAATTTGTTACATAGCTATTGGACATTGCCATTTATAGTGGATTTACCCATTGACAATGGTGGATCTTTCCATAGTTTTTTGTATGGTTACCAGAAGGTTCACGACAAAAACCACGATCAGCAAACATCCCCGGACTCTGCAAGAGCTGCAGGGTGTCTTGACGGCCATGTTTCTATGCTTAGATTTGTACCTTATATACCACTGCAAACATTGCTTAATTTGATTGTGGACAATGTCAACCCATCCAAAGTCAGAAATAATGCTACTATCATCCTACATACTGCAAACATGGCTTAAATTGATTCTAGTTCATATCAATCTCTCATAAACCATAGCATCATCTCACATCATAATTCTATCCACACTAGAACCATGGCTTCAGTGACTACCTATGGCCATCCCCATGGCCTCCGGAAACGCTACGTTGGTTGAGGCGATCGAAGATGGATTTGGTGTCCTTCTTGGGAATGGTGTATCGCCTCCATAAGGACAATGTGGACACCTGGTTTTTTGAAGTTCGATGAATGGGGATGACCATGGATGACTGTTAAAACATGGCAGGCAGCTTCTTGAAATGAATCATAAATCTTCTGACTGGTGGTTTCAAAATGTTTCAAACATGTTTTTTTTTCAAAGATCTTATGAAGACATGGGATGCTCTCGAAGGTGCCATCGTGATATTTCGGCACGAATTCATCAGTCTTCCAGGATGTGCAGGAAAAACTCATCTACAGGGTTTGGACCTCAGGATTCCTAAATTTGCAGGCACCATGTTTCCAGATATATCCAGATCATATTGTTCCAAAAGCACTGACTGACTGGGATATAAAACTAGCAAGATTATCATGCCGCCATGCAATTCATAAACTCTCCCAAAACTTATTCACCAGAACATCCACTTCGCATCAGTTCGCAGTAAGTTTGGAGGAGTTTCGTTCCCGTTCGCCCATGTCTCAGGTGGAAATGTACATTCGAGATTCCATCAAAGGGTGCCGCCATCGCCCGTTGTTGACATCCCTGGGTTTTTATCAATGGGAAATCTACCAGGAAATGTATAATGTTGATTTCCCATTGATAAAAAAACATTTCCCATTTCTACTAGTATGTTGATTCTATTGGGGCTCTGGAATTGAGATTTTCCGGACCTGCATTCTTGAACAAATCCGAAAAAGCTGAACATCCAGCATCTATCCTGTAGGTCATGTTTTGAACAAAGGGTGGCAATTATAGCTAACAATGCGATCTTACTGAAATCTAATTTCAGTAGGTTTCTTGGGTTTTAGCATTTTGAAATCTTTCACATGCAAAAAGTCCAGATTTCCATCAGCCAGCTTGTAGTCGATCCATGTGAGCTGGACTGTGGAGTTTCCATGGCCACCTGCCTCCGGATGTTTCCGACAAAAACATGGGAGGTACGTGCCGTCCAATAGCGATTTGGACTACCCGCTGGAAGCTCGGTCGTGATATTTCATGTGTCCTGATATATCTAATATGTATATATATATAAATATACATATATGTATGATATATATATATATATATGTATATCTAAAATAAATATACTTATTTACAATTAATAGATATTGGATGTGTCCATCATTTTGGGATGTTGAAAACTGCCCAGGTGGGTCTTGTACAGCGCTGAGCGACAGGAGGACCTGGGAAATTTTTGGTTCGCAGCAGGTGCTGTGTTTTGCCAATGGGGACGCCTCACCCCAAACAAATGCAACTTTAGGTGGGAATATTCATGGGAATATTCATGGGAATGTATATATATAATATATTTATATACACATAGATAATATATATATATATATACATACATACATACATACATACATACACATATATATATATATAATTACATTTGTGGAAAATGGAGGGAATATGACAATGATAGACCAGCCTTGAGGGAGACTTTGCTGAAATGGTCTGAAATTGGTGATTCATGGCAGTCTACTTTGGAGAATGCAGATATTTCTCAGCATATCAAAGCAACAAACATACGTTGATTATCGTTGATTTAGGCTTAGAAAAGCGTGAAACCATCACCAAGAAATGGTTGCTTGTTGGGCTTAGATGGCCACGTTTCGTCACGGTTTCCTGGATTACATGGCGGAGTTATCACCTGGATTCTGGTGAAGCGTTGGCACTAGCGACCTGCCGTTGAGAGGTGCTTTCTGTAAACAATGACAATAAATCCATGTTCAAGACATATTTATGGTACAACCTTCCATTTGTGCTAAATCAATAACCATTCCATCCAATCATATATTCAATGCATCTAAACTAAGATAAACTAAGCATTTGGACAGGATATTTGCTTTTGGGCAGAAAAAAAAAGGGTTTTGGCACCTCATCCTCTGGTGTTTCATCGTAGGATCCACTGACAGAGTCTCAGACAGGTGTGGACTGGGGGACTGGTTGGTCGGTAGTACACTGGTGTAGTCTACTGGTTGCAGAATGTTATAGATGTTATAGATATCAGATTCTGAGATATACATGTATATACTATATTGGTGTAGTATACTGCTAGTATATGTTCACTAGCGTGTAGTAAATCTAGGGATACAATTTTCAGCCATTCGTTTCATGGATCATCTCCATTGGAGGTTTGGGGTTCGGAATCATGTAGGCAGAAGTATTGAAATCTGTGGTTTTGGAATCCCCCAAAGAAAGCCCCAATTAGAAATGGTATATCTATGGTATATCTAAGGTATATCTATGGTATATTCATTTTATACAGGGAAATTGTGAAATGATATCATTGCAACTGTAGCGTTCAGTTTGTAACATTTTTTTTCTTTGAGGGTCAGAGACCTAAGGGCATTGGGTCCGGCCCTTGCCTTTTGTTGAAACTAAAGGATATCAGGATAGTTCACATGCCCAAGGTGACTGCTGTTCTGTCCACATCTTTCTATGTTCATAAAACATCAAACCTGGAAACTGCGCAATACAGAACATTGTTCACACTTTCACTACATTTCCCCGCGTTTTTCTATATTCATAAGACATTCATAAGACCCGATCTCTATTGTCAGGTGTCAGCTGGCATCCCTTCCCATGACCACCAGGCTGGTATCCATCGTTGCCTCGGACCTTGTCCATCTTGGTGCCTGGGGCGAATGACAGTTACCCTCTGGTAATGACTAACATAACTCATGGGAAAATCACCATAGAATTATAGTGAATTTTCCCATTACAAATAGTGATGTTCCATGGTTATGTTAGGTTACCAGAGGGTATCCCTTGAAACCAAACATTGAAACGGACAGTTAGTACTACGAATCATCAGAAGTGATGATGTTCAGTCCATTGCAGTCCTACCTAATATCAGCAGTATTCGAGTGGTATTCCTTTCAACCCCAAATCGTTATACGATGACTCTCCTGATTTTCCAGTCGTATCCCAGCTTGGATGTTCCAAGTGGCCATACTCTTCAACATCTTCAACAACCTATGTTTATCATGATTTGTCATGGTTTATCATAATATATATATATACGTATAATTATATATATATATAATTGTATTAATCTATGATGATTTATGATGATTTATCATGATTTATGATGATTTATCATGATTTATCATGATTTATCCAGTATATGTAAGTGGTAGCCTTTCACCCCGGGCTTTTTTCAGTTCCCCACTTTTTCCATTCCCCCAACCATTTTCAAAGCGGCCGCATTCGCCCAAGGCGAAGATTTACCGCGCCCTGGAGATGTCCACATTTCAGGGGTTCCTTGGTTTCCGCGCTTGGTGAAGGGTTGGTGAAGTGTTTGGTGTTCCTGTTTTCAGGGCTATGCTAAGGGGATATAGCTCCAATTTCTGCTTAGTATTGTACAGTACATACAGTACCTCCAGTTGAGGTGCCTGAAATTGTATTTGTAAGTTCCGTGTGTTTCTTAGTTTCTATGGAAGCACCTTATAAAGTGCATGGACATTTGACTGATATATATATATATATATATATATGTGTGTGTGTATGTATAATTATGTACATATATATATGTATATATATATATATACATCCTTTGTTTTTTATTGGCGATTTCCTCGTGTTTTGCAGGTATCCTAAGATTCAATGGATGTTACCAAAGGTCATTGCAGCAATACTGAGGATTGCCCAGGAGGCCGTCGACCTTTGCATGCATACCTTGAAGGAGGCCATGGTAGACACTCAGACACTGGGATTTCATATTTGTTTAACTACAAAAGAAGTTTTTGTTGATGTCGCATCACCAGCTATCCATGTCCGCAATCCGTGGCTCCCCATTCCATTGGATCCTTGGAACCGAATTTTCCCAGGATTTTCCAAGGAATTCCATGCACCGGGAATCGACTTGGAAATCCCTTCTTCCAGGCTTCTCAGATCTTGGCCCGGAAGACTTTGCCCAGCTGTTCCGATCGCAACATGCAGGACGTGGGACCAATAAAGTGGGGCCTGCCGTTGGGTTGAGTGAAACATATGGAGATGCAAAGCTCATCCATGATCAATGGGGGTTATCCAATGTGCTTATCTGTTTATACATATATATATATATTCATACGTATACCATATACCATGTTCTCCCATTTATTCCATATTTGTCCATTTTTTTAATCCCATGCCATCCGATTTTATTGTCATGGGATTACCGTTCCTACCTTTCATCGCACTTGTTTTCTCTGACTTCGCCCAAGGCGGTTTTGCCATTGGTTCAGATGATGGACTCGCAACTCTTCTTGGTGAAGCATCTCTTGCCGGGCAACCCAAGTGGTTTTGGTGGGATTGGGACGGCTTAAAAATGGTCAAAACCTGTTAGGATATCTTTGAGATTTCCTATGTATGTGTATATATATATATATATAATCATTCGGAGGCGAGAATCTACTATATATATACATATACCAATATCATAAATGTTCATGTTTTTTCCTATATATATTCGGAGGTGATAATCCAAGTTTATAATCATCACAGTACCAGCTCTTTTGACCATATATTTTGGATGAACATCAATCTACAGGACATTTCACAACAATTTTGATGTTCACCGACGGGCACGCAGCTGGATCGCTGAGGTTGCTGCGAGAACAGGTCGCAGCCTTTGAGTGTGAACTCGTCAGCAGCTCAGCCGCTGCAGGAGCTTTCGACGGCTCGACGGACGCCCGTAGTTGGCTGATCATGGGGGTTTCCATAGTCATGGGGGTACCCCAAAATGGATGGTTGATAATGGAAAATCCATCTATAAATGGATGATGACTGGGGGTACCCCTAGTTTGGGAAAGCTCCATATATGGAATTCATACACAAAGAATTTGGATACAGAATCTATGCCATAGACATCTCTAAATATCCTCTGATATCTTATGATGGTGGGCTGAAAAGGTGTCTATACATTCAGTTTTTTTTGTGTTCAACTTGGGGTTGGACCTCCCATGTTTTCGCAAGTTTGAGACCCAACTCCGTGTTTTTTGGGAATACCCATGAGGTTATGATTCAGAATGTTGGAGGTTAAACATGGTTAAACTAGTCTGTTCAGATGAATGATCTACTTAGTGTCATTAATCTTAGCTATGTTAAGATAAATATTAAGTTTTGTTGACACTAAAAGATGCCGCCCTTTTTTGGAGGTTTCATTGGTAACCCATTTGTGATTACACGCAACGCCGATCGGTTGAGGTGGTCAGCGAGAAGTACTTCAACTTCGGAAACCTCTGGGAGGCGGCAAAACCGCAGCCCTGACGGGCCACCATGGGCCACCATGGGCCACCATGGGCCAAGCTCACCATGATGATTAGTCACCTGATAGTATGGGAACATCATTAAAAAAAAACACATGGTTCAGATCGTTCAAACATGAAAGGAAGAATAGATTTGAGAAGAAGAACTTGAGTGTTAAGAAAAAGGCATCCGCAAAGGCAAGTTGTTTGTGGATTAGCAAATCCCTGTTCCCAAGTGCACATTTGAGCAAGCAGGATGTACAGATGTGAGATGATGTGAGCCATGCTTAGTTCTGGTCTAATATCATTATAAATACCACCCAGACGGGCCGGAAAATGAACACATCCAATACTAAACTAGTTAGGGGGTATCCAATCTTAGGGGATAGGGATTATAGTACTTGAAACTCCAAATCCACACATTTTTAGTTACCGCACAGTATGGACATACTGGTTTGCTTCAAAATGGTGGCTGACATGGGATATCCAAATTGCCATTTGCGGAATTTCTTTTTCTGTATGCAGGAGGATTTTGAGATATCACTGAACCAGCTTAAACTTCACCCCATCATGGTTCATTGGTTGACATTTATCACGTGATATCGCCAGCTTGGGCCATCTCCAGCGTCGGAGGCCCTGAATCTGAAGCTCCCCGATGGCATCCTGGGCATTCTGAAGCCCACCATGTACCATGCAGAGGCCACGGCACCAGGACTTGGCACTTGGAAAATTGTGGAAATGATGAGAAATCACTTAGAATGGGCTATTTAGATCCATTGGATAATATCTACTAGATGTATCTCTATTACTATTATAGTTCAAGAGATTTGCTCAATTGAAACTCACTTCATGGATTAGTATACTTGAAATCTAGTCATGTGTTCCTCGGTGCATCTCGAACGATTCCATTCCGGTGAAGCCTCCTATAGCGTGCATTCCAGCTGCTGATCAGGTGGATAGCAAGAAGGACATCGAGTCTGAGTTGAAGGCTGTGCGTGTTTTTGTTTGCGTTTGTGGTTTCGGACAGGTTACTGAAAGGTTTCTGACATGGGCCCTGTCAGGATTTGGTGGCAAAAAAAGATAATCCCACCCAATTTAGGCGATTTTTAAAGATGGAATTTAGAGAACCCTGTCTGAGACAAGGTGTGTCTTGTTGATGGTTCAGAATCCATTTGAATCCTGATGGCGGAAACCTTCACAAGAGACCATACCCCGAGAAACGAACTATGATCCCCTAGATAGTAGCCCCAATTGGTTTCGATCTTAGTTTTGGAAAGGGAAACCACACCCCTTTCATCCCCTTTCCATGTGCCATATCAAAAATCCAATGCCAACGCCTTGCTCACTCACCTTCTGTGCTCAGTCCGCCTGTGAAACGTTGATCACAAACATCACAGCGGGGTTGACCCAGCGAAGAAAGCGGTGGGAAGATCCGGTTGGAGAGATGTCAGCTGGATTTGGCAGGTCAATGTGCTTATCTATAAAATGTAGTGTATCAGGGCGGAAAAACCATGTTTCTCTGCAGCTATCTGAGATTTTGCATTTTAGTTTCCCACTCTGGTCTTTGCGTCCAAGGCACACATCACTCAGCCGATGGCTGTGTGGAAGCCCGACAGCGACAAACGGGGAAGCAGTTGCTGCTAGTGTCCAATATATTTGTTGAAATGAAGGGCATAGTTAGTACAGTAGGGCTACAATAGGGATAGTAACGGATAGTCTGTCAACCCCATGGGAGCATGGTCCATGATATCCCAGCGAGAGATGATCCCGTTCAAGCACTGTACCACAGGTGGGTCTACCCAAGTGTTGAAAAATTGGATCTCCCCATGGGAAGTTCAAGTCCGATGGTATCCCAGGGTTACCTGACTTGTCACTCCAGTTCCTGCCCTCCAAGTGGCCATTCAAGCCGACTTCACTTCTGCAGTTCGAAATGCCAGATTTAAGTTCTGATTGAGATCTTCCAAACACAGCAACCGCAGGATTCGGTGGAAAACACTTGGAAGACCCAGTATTTTCCAATGGAAACAGCCCATGTTCAGCCCATTTTCATCCATTTTCCATTCCACCTGAGGCCATGAACGTGAAGATTGGCAACTATTTGGCGAATCCTCAGGCGATTTTCTTTTGCAAGTTCCCATCCCAGGATGTGGCTTGAGAGAGAGAGAGAAAGAGAGATTCTCTATAGATGAGTTTTGGTACTCCTTTGGGGCTGGACAAACCCTAATGTGGGCCCTGAGTTCGTAGCTGGAATGAGTTTGGAACCTGTCACCTGACTTTTTAAAGGACAGCGGTGTTTTGTGGAAACAAAAACATATCATTATTGTTTGTTGTTCCGCAGATTTTATTTGGTTTCTTGTCTTTATTCTCTCAAGTTATTATCAGCTCGGTACTCTTGCCGGCACAGGTGGATAGAGCTTCATTGAAGGAGCGGCGATGCTTTTGGGTCGGTCCGAAATGATCTCTCTCTCTCTCTCTCTCTTGCTGCTGTGCTCATGAGCGAGTGCTGTAGCATTTGTGTCGGACAGTCCAAATGTCCGGACCTTTCAGGAGATAACATTATGGTTTAAGACATGTTGATACATGTTGATATATATATATATACACATATTTTAATATATATATATATATACATATTACATGTATATATATATAATTATATATGTTAAGATATGTTGATCATGTTGTGTTTCCATCTCCGTAGAACGATGATTCCAGTGTTGATGAAAATCAGCCACAACATCTTAATGGTTTCACCAGGGCAGCGCCAGGAGCAGAGCTTCATGAAGGAGGAGTTGCACGGTGTCATTAGCAACTTGCCTGAAGGGCACGGGCTTGGTCCTATGGCAGTTTGAAAATCCGAATTCCACGGGTTAATGACCATGTTCTTGTTGTTTTCCTGGCACTTTGGGGAAGGTTATACAATGGTATAATGGTATACATCATTTTTAGACAAAGCCCATATATATCCGCAGCCATGACGGCACTCAGGTACCTTCCTGGACAACGTGAAAGTGAAGGTGCCCTTTGCCACTGCGCGTCTTGGCTGATCCCATTGGGCAGGAAATATGTGGTTCCCCATAACAGTTTTGGATGAGTTTTGAGGATGTCCACATGTCCACATTTTTGTTCAAAATCAAATGTCCACATTGTTAGGGTTTTTCCGAATTTCTAATAGTACACCATTGTTTTTGGGGGATGTCAGACTGTCACCTCATGAATGATGTAGTTTTGGATGCACAAAAACGGTAGGTCGTTTTTCAGTTAGAGCTGAGGCACATTCGTCTCTACCTCTCGACCCCTGGAGGCACATCTCAGCCATTCACTATGGTAATAGTAACTGTGTTCACCAGAAATTCGTGTTTTTTGTTCCAGACTCAGTCACTAAATCATCTACGGTTGATCTATGGTTGATACATACATATATTATGTTATATTATATTATATTCTATTATTTTATTTTATTTTATGCTATATTATATTATTTTATTTTATTTTATATGTTTTTGTTTATTATTATTATTATATTATTATTAATTATTTTATATTATTATATTATATTATGTTATATTATTTTATTTTATTATATTATATTATATTATTTTATTTTAGTTTATATTATATTATATTATATTATATTTCATTATACTAATCTATATTTACTGTATGTATTTATATATATATATATGGTTGAGGTGTGTGATTTCTGTTTTGCACCAA